GGATGGCCACACTGCAATTCCTTCTCCATTCTCTTCTTGGGACTTTGAGTATGCACGCATACATGCCTGGTGTGATTTTCCAAGGGGCTGTGTCTGGGACTCAAACCATGGTTGACAATGTAGGAATCTAGCGCTTTTTGGGGATAAAGTTGAGATGAGTTCTCTCCAACAGACATCAGTAAAATCTGCATTATTTGTGAATGCGAATGCCTCCTCTAAATAAATGGAAGACATATAAATAGTGCTTACTGTGTGGTCAGGATAAGTCTAGATGCTTTATATATATATATATGTATATGTATTTTTTTCTTTATTCATGATAGAGCATGTGTGCACACACTGAGTGGGAGTGAGCAGTGCGGCCTCCCCAGGTCTGGCCATGCCACCAAGTGCAGCGTGTCCTCCCAGTGGAGGAGCCCTCAGCGGCCTCTGGTGCTCAGGTAACCCCGTGTTCAGGATGGATCAGGGTAACAGCATTTTGGTTCATCTTTCTCTCCATGAAAACCAGCTCACCCTAACAATGCCCATTTACTCAGCCAGTATACCATGAACTCCAGCACTTTTCTTCTCTCAGGCTCAGTTTCCAGATCCCTCCTGGCTTGTCCATTGTCTCCTTTTAGATGGGTGTCTGCTCTCTGTCCCCATGTACCAGTCAGAGTTCAATCAGAGAAAACAGACTCCACCAGGACTGACGTAGGGGAAATACTACAGGGACTTAACAGTCTGGAGGGCCTGGGCCAGCAGGGGGCATGATGGTTAAGACTCTGGGTCCCACTGGCCAACTGCACATTCAAATTCCAGACCTGGTAGCCTGAAGAACAAGTTGGGCACGTGTGCATGAGTACCCCAAATCCTGAGAGAGGAGAAGGGACTGTGGTAGGGCTCTCCCCCCGGGGGGTGATTTTTCACTTTTCTTCATTCTCTGCATCTCTCTCAGGTGAGTGCATGTGCCCTGTAATGCATTTAAATAAATAAAATAAAACATAAGAAAGGAAAAAACCTTGAACCCACAAGCACATATCTGGAACCAGAGGATGGACTGGAGCCTATACATGTCTTCTAGAAAGGTCTCCTACAGGAAAAGCCAGAGCACTCTGCTCTGAACTTAGACACACACCAAGCCCAGGAATCCTGGGCCTGGGGGAGCCTTGAGCCCAAAGGCTGCCCACACTCCAGGAGAGCCAGCAGAGACCACCAGAAGCGGTCACATGAGCAAGAGCGGCACAGTGCCCGGTGCCCTGCTCCAGCCCGCTGAGAGCGGAAGGAACGGTCATGGTGCTGGAGTGGAAATTCCACAGTACCGACCTGGAACCATGCGGGGAGGAGACTTCCACAAAACAGGGTTCCAGCTTAGCTAAGCGGCTGTAACCCCAAGTCACACACCTGGGCTTGTGACACCCTACTTTTGCTAGGAAAGCTACTCCATTTTCTCTTTGGACATAAAAGAGCAGAAGGGGATGGGGCTGGAAGGTGGCATGTTGATTAAGGTACTGGACTCCTACATGGCTGACTGCGGTTTGAGTCCTAGACCTGGTGGCTTGATTTCTCACTTTCCCTTTCTTGCTCTCTGGTAATATAAAAATAATAACAAGTAAAATTAAATAAATAAATAAATAAATAGTAAGTCTTTTTAAAAAGTTGAAGGGGGGGGAGGACACTGCCCAGAGAATTTCCTCTGTCTTTAATATCTGCTTTGTGCTTTGTTTTTAAAGCAAAGGTGGGATTACTCCCTGCCACCAGCCTCCAGAATGGGCATTTGGGTGCGTGCCTTTGAGTCTCTTCAGTGCCACCCACACCACCCTTGGGCTTTTTCTCAGGGTGGCAGTGGGGGTTATTACCCAAGTAAAGCCAGTTAGGATAAACAGAAACCCCGATAGCCACCAGGGGTTTGGATGAGTGTGAGAAATGCACTCTTTTAAAAAAAAAATCTTAATTTTATACTATTCTGTTTCAAAATATGCTTTTTTCTTAATCCAGCAGTGTCTTTTGAATATGCCCCTTACCTGAAGTAACATAAATGACAGTATAATTATGTCTACCATGCTGTTTACTGTTGAGCTCCAGGATAGCTCTAGAAGCAGAGTTGCTTTTATTTAAATATGTTCTCTTGGGACCAGCAGATGGCATAATGGTTACGTCACTGGACTCCCATGTAGTCGACTACAGTTCCAGTCCTAAACCTAGTGGCTTGAAACTCAGACTGGGTGCATGTGCGTGCATGCCCAAAGTCCTAAGAGGAGACTTGAGGAGAAGGGATTGTTCTCTCTGGGGAAGAGGGAGTGATTTCTCACTGTCTCTCTCTGGCAAGTGCACATGCCCGATAGCAAAAATCTCTAAAAAATAAATAAGTAGATCACTGTAGCCTCGCCCGTGGAACTACTGCCCCTGACTCGGAGTTGAAGTTTCAGGAGGAGGACTTGCAGCAGTATGGAGACCGTCCACACGGGCATTCTGAGCAAGCTCTCACCTTCCTCATCAACTCCTCAGCTCAGAGGGACCAAATAATGTCATGTGAATCAGTGCCAGCATTTATTGAAACTTCCAATGGTGACAGAAAGCAAGGTGTAAGTGAAAAATCCACAGGAAAGCAAGAAGTCAAGGTTGGTGAAGGGTCTGAGGCAGTCTCTAAGCGACAAATGAAGCTCAGGAGACAGAAACAAAGGGAAGAATGAGAACTCTGCAAACAAAAAAAGGAAGGAAAAGCGCAAGAGAAAGAAATTAGAGCAACAGCGTCAACTGGAATCAAACTTGGATGGAAATGACAGAAAACGTGTTCGAAGACACGTTCCCAGCACACTCCGCCTTATTGCTGACTGTAGTTTTGGTGACTGAATGGTATTAAAGGACATGAAAAACTTCATAAGCAGATCCAGAGCTGTTATGCAGAAAACAGATTAGCACTGCATCCCACTGACAGGCCGTGGAGGCCAGCTGGAAAAGAGCCTGGGTGAAAATGACAAAGGATGGATCATCTGGAAGGACACCTACCTCCAACCAGAACACCACAGTGAACTCACGTGAGAAGACCTGATTTCTCTGACATCAGATTTGCCCACTGTACTGAAGGAATGAGCTGAAGCAAAGGCTTACGTACTTGGAGGTTAGTAGCTCACCACCACGAGGGACTCGCGCAGAACCAGGCCTCAGATAACGAATGGATCTGCTCGGCTCCCACTTGGAAACTTCCTGAAGAGGAACAGTCGCCAAGTTTTGGCAGTTAATCAGGTGTTTGAGATTATTCTGGGATACCTGGAAACAAAAGACCGGCAAGAAGCTTTTTTTTTTTTTTTTTTTTTTTACTATTTTACCCCAATGAAAAAGAGCTGTCCCCACAAAGCCTGTGAAAATTCTTCCCATGACAAGCAATCCACCAGGGTTGAAGGTGGATCAGAAAGTGATTCCAGAGAGGAGGAATGTAGCAGAAGTGAGCTAGATTTACCACTGAAGAAGAGATGCAGAATAAGCAAAATGGCACCAAATCTACAGTGGACTCTGCACTGCACTAATGTTACCTGGTTTTCTTTTAGTTTAAGGAAAATTTGGGAGAAAATGAGGTACTTCATAGAATATTCAAATTAGAAGATTATTTTTTTTGCAAATTTTAAAACCTTTTTTTCAGAGCTAAATGCTAATAAAAAAGTCTTTTAAACACTGTAAAAATTAAATATGTTCTTTTTACAAATTATTTGATTCATTTCTTTCATGAGTGAGAGAGGCAGAGAGACAGAGATGGAGGGACAGAGAAACAGGTCCCCCCTGACAGGGTCTTTTGATGCCAAGCTCCATCTCCAGCGTCAGCCAGCCCCAGAGCATGGGCACCAGTGTGCTCAGCTCAGGCACGGATGGGGGCGAGGGGGGCTATTTAAATATTCTGACAACTGAAGTAGCATAACCTAGGTCAGCTGATGTCAACCTTCCACCTGTGGCAAAATCCCTTGGCATCAGCTGGCTCCCATCCCCAGATTCAGAGGTCTGGAGTGGGGCCTGAGAACTTGCAGAGGTTTTTTTTTTCTTTTCTTTTTTTTTTTTTAGAATTATTTATTTAATTAGATGTATTATTATTACTATTATTACTACTACTATTTTGACAAGAAAGAGACAGAGAAGGGGGAAGCTGAGAACGCAAGCTACCAGGTCCAGGACTCAAACTTCCTTAGCCACTATGCCACCTGATGGCCCCATGTTTCTGCTTTTAATTTTCCAGAGAGCACATGCGCTCCCAGAGGGGGAGAGAGAGAGAGAGAGAGAGAGAGAGAGAGAGAAGCACCCTCCACCCCTGTGGGAATGATCACAGCCTAATCTCTTCTCCATTTCTCCCTCCGTTTGGTATTTTGGTCATGCACACCTATGCCTAGTGTGTTTTTCAAGCCACTGGGTCTGAACTGTGTGGTAGGCCATGTGGGTAGACCTAACCACCTTAACCACAGGCTACAGGCTGTCCCAGAACTTGCAGTTTTATCGGGTTTCCAGGGAACAATGCTGATGCTTCTCCGGCAGCCACAATGTGAGAAGCACTAGTCTCACAGTGAAGAGCCCAGTTTCCCGGTCAGACTGTTTGGCGTGGACTCCGAGTTCGTCATCTGTTTACTGTGTGACTGCAGGCCAGCTCCACCATAACCCGCACCTCTGCTTCTTTATATGTAAAATCGAGGTGATAACAGCATAAATTTGGGGGGATTATATGGATACTTTGTTATTTATAAAATACTTTATCCATATAAAGTATGGAAACAATATAAATCTGCAACAAATCTTTGCTATTATTTAATTAATTTATTTTTAAAAATTTTTTGCTATTGGGTGCATGGGCTCACTGGAGAGAGACAGGGAAAAAGAGAAACACCCCCCCAAGTGGGATGGCCATGCCACAATATCTCCTCTTCGGATTCGGGGCACACATGCACACACGCTCAATGTGTTTTCCAACCCACAGAACCACACAGTTGACCACTGCAATCTTAAACACTATGCCACTGGCTAGCCCTTTGCTATTATTTTAATTCAGAAGATGTTCTGTGAGTCCGTGATTATGTGGTAAGTGCATTGGAAAATATTCCATATCAACAGATCTTTCACACTTAAGAAGTTGGAGTCTAGAAGACCTGAAGTCATTGATTTAATTTCCCAGTAATTTGTTGTGAAATTTCATGTCTTTACACCTCGGGCACTTCATATGTATCTAATATTTTTCATGGGGTTTATAAGTGCCAAATGCATCACAAAAAATAATTATTGCAGAATACAACAAGTCCCAGTTCTTTTACGAAAAACCGTTTTAATGGAAAAGGAAGTCCTATGGCCAAGTTTGAGTTTAATTTCCTAATTGTCCAGGAGGTGGCAGCACGACCCGGGAATTCTGCAGGCGAGCACAGCGCTCTGGCGCCCGCCCCTCCGCACCACCCGGCTCTTTTGCACTTTGATCCCCTTGTTTAAACTTTAGATGATCACCTACGTGGACCGAGCCCCCTTTCTGTTGGGGATGCTCATGGGTTGGAAAATACGGAAGTTTTACCTCGGTCACCAGATTCACCTGAAGTGTGATTCTACACACGTCCCCCAGACTCAGTTTCCCTGTGTGATATGGGGACGGTGCATTGACAGCCCGGGGTCGCAAACTCAGAGTCATGCCACAGAGCTGTCCACAGGTGAGTCCTCCGGGGAGCCGGCGTGGACACCAGCATGCGGGCGCCCCAAAGCGAGTTCCAGAGGCAGGAACACAGGACGCGGTGCCCAGGCTGCGTCTACACCGGCCTAAGACATGCAAACCAGTGTGCGCGTTAAACAAGCCGGGACGCTTTGGGCAATTTCGTGGAAATTCCTATCAATCTTTAACAGAAAGCTGACGTCAACCAGGTGCCATGCCTCAGAAGTCTGTACCAGGGACTACCTGTCCCTTCTCTTCTGCCTCCTACTTCGCAGGAGACTGTCGTTTTGCTCGTGTTGGTTCTGTGCAAGAGAAACCGCTTTTGGGTGAGCGTCTCTCGCGCGGAGCCGTCGGCGCCCTCTCCCCATGCTCCCCGTCATGCCTCGGAAAAACTGAAGAAATCAAAGACTCTCTGCTAACAGACCGACAAAAGGACGCCAAACCTGTCAAGATCAAGAAAGATGAGGATAATGTGAAGTTTAAAGTTCGATGCAGCAGGTACCTTGGTCGTCATGGACAGAGAGAAGGCAGGGAAGCCGAAGCAGTCCCTGCCCCCAGGTTTGGCGGTGAAGGAGCTAAAATGAACCAGACGCTGTTTGAACTACATTAAACATTTTTAATTCTGGAAAGAAAAAAAGAGAGGGAGAAACCAGAGAAACGTCTTTTGCAGAAGGACACTTGGCGCCCTCTGGTGATATATCCCGAGAAAGACAGCACTACCTTAACGCCTTGGTTCGATCTCACACCAAATAATCCAGTTTTTGCCTTTTGAGACATCTGGGTCAATCCATTTCTGGGTTGTTATTTTTGCAGTTAACTCTAGGGTCCCCAAATCAAGGGTCACGAGGTTCCGTACTGCTGCTGCAGACTCCACGCAGGGTTAGAGAGCAAGTCCGAATCAACTAAGTGGAAACTGCCAAGTCTCCAGTGTAGACTTAACTCATAGGGAACAGCACACGACTCTTGTTGACACCGCACACCGTCAGCACTAGTCCAGGCAGAGAGGTCTGAAAGGAGGCTCTGGTTTCTGTTCGCCATGCAGGGAGCTGGCGCTCTGGCATCCCCTGTCCTGCCTCTATGTCCCAGCCCGGTTTCCCCATAGAGATCTCAGTTCCTCACAGGCGGGTCCTCGGGTCCCTGATGTCTATCCTAGCCCTGTCCCTGATGAGTGGGGGGTGGACCCGTTCCATTCTAGAATCTTCTAGAATGATTGTTACACCCAGACCCCAGGCTTGCTGGTAAGAACTTCTGAAAGGAGAGATAAGCATTATGCAATGTAGACACCTCTGTTAAGCAAGACAGAGCTATGAATTATAGATGCGTGACTCATTATCAGGATACCCTCTGTCCACATAACAGAGCCAGGAGCAATGTCTGCTCTTCTCTGCATGGTCTGCCCCACTGCCAAGCACACGTCCCAGTTCCTTCTTAGTTCCCGGCACCATCCCGGTGTGGAAGCATGGGCCTCCTGGCTTCCTTCCCAGCCAACAAGCCACCAAGTCAATTCTCCAGCTCCTCTCTGGTCTTCCACCTGCTTTGTGATTCCTAGGCGGCACCGAGGCGCAGCTGCCACCAAAACAAATGTGCGGTATTTTGGTTGTTTTGGTCCACTGAGGCATTTTTGTCTCTTTTTCTGTCTGTCGGCACCTGGCATTAACAGTAATAACTTGGAATTGAGCATCTGCCTGTTCTGTTAGACAAAAACTGAGGTCAGAGTCCGAAACCTACCCCAGAGGTCTAGGCTGGAAAGGACAGCAAAGTCCAACTCTGTCCCTCCCCCAGCTCTGCTGACTGGGGACCTTACCCTCCATGCTGTCCTCTGACCTCCTTTCAGGCAGGCCATTCATCGAGTACCCCTACCCTTCCTCACCACGCACGCCTCACAAAGGAGGCCTAGAACAAGACGGCCTCTGAGTCTACTGACACTGGCTCCTCACGTCACTTGTGGTAACGCTTCGGCACCCCAGGCCCTGGACAGTGCTGTGGGGCTCGCCGCTATCAAATACGCAGAAGGTGCTGGAGACAGAGAACACACACCAGGTTCGGGAGGCCCAGGAAGACAAGAAATATCTCGTTGGGGAATGTATATGTTGATTGCATGTCGAAATGATAATATTCTGAATATACTGGGTTAATTAAAATAGAGTGTTAAAATGAATTTTGCCTAGTTGTCTTTTTAAAATTTTTAAAATTTTAAAATTCTTTCTTTTTAAGAATTATTTTATTTAACTTTATTTAGTTACTTATTTGAATTTGACTTGGGGGGGGGGAGAGAAAGTGAGAAAACAAGCTGCCAGGTCAGGGACTTGAACCAAAGTCGGCTGTGTGGGAATCCAGTGTCCAGAACCACCATGCCACCTGCCGGCCCCTTAAAATTCTTGTAAGAATGGTTTTACTTTATTTATTTATTTATTTGGAGAGATTTTTGCCATAGGGCGCATGAGCTTGCCAGAAAGAGAGAGACAGAGAGAAAGAAATCACCCCCTGCAGGGAGTTGGCCACGCCGCAATCCCTTCTCCATTCTCCTAAGGTCTTGGGCACCCAAGCACACGTGCCCAGCATGAGTTTAAGCCACCGGGTCTGGGACTCAAACTGCGATTGACTACATGGGAGTCCAGCGACATAGCCATTATGCCATCTGCTGGTCCCTTATTTATTTATTTTAATTTGACCAGAGAGGGACAGAGCGAGCAAGAGGGAGAGAGAGAGAGAGAGGAAGCAAGAAAGCAAGGCACCAGGTCCAGGACTCAAACCACGGTCGGCCATGTGGGAGTCCAGCACCCCCAGTCACCATGCCACCTACCGGCCCCTCTCCCCCCTTTCTTTAAATGCACGAGGACACAAAGGGGGATACCTCCCCATTGGGGGGATGCTTTCTCTCTCTCCAAGAAAGCATTGCAATCCCTTTTTCATCTCTCGATTCTGTTGGGATTCCGGGCACACATGCACATGCACCCGCACCCAGAGTGTTTCTAGAACTGCCAGGGCCTGGACTCGAACCACAGTTGGCCATGTGGGATCCTGCTCCCTTCATCATTAGGCTATGGGGCTGGCTCTACCTGTCATTTTCAAATCTGACTACTATCTACCCTAAAATTACATGCATGACTCATGTATTTCTACTGCACTCTATTCCTGTGGCTTCTCCAGACCCTCCAGGTCTAGCTTGTGGCATTGATTTGATGATCTCCACTGTGAGCAACCTTTCTGGGGTTAACCACTTCCCTGAATCACATGACCTGCCTGGTTGCTCCTAGTTTTTCCCATCCCTGCTAGAACCAACGTATTGCCAAGGAGCTGTGTGATTCATGATGACTCTTTCTAAAAAGCCTTATTAGAATTCCCCAGGCTGCTCATTCCATGGTCGGATAAATCTAGCTATTAGAATATTTTTGGGGGGACCAGCAGACAGTGTAATGGCTACATTGCTGACTCCCATGTAGTCGACCGTGGTTAGAGTCCTGGACCCCGTGGCTTAAACTCACGCTGGGTGCGTGTGGTGCATGCCCAAGATCCCAAGAGGAGAATGGAGGAGAGGGGCTTGCCAAGTGGCCATCCCCCCTGGGGGTGATTTCTCATTTTCTGTCTCTCTGTCTCTGTCTTTCTGGTGAGCACACACCCTATAGCAAAAACCTCTCAAAAAAAAAAAAAAAAGAGTATTTTTTTCTTTATTATATAATAAGCCAAAATATGTCTCCCTGCTATAGCTTTCCATGTGAGTAAATATGAGTCATGCTTAATGACTACATAGGACCCAATTATGGCCTTTATTTGTTTTTAAGAGATTTTTTGCTATAGGGCACGTGCGCTCTCTCTCTGGAGAAACACAGAGAGAGAGAAAGTGAGAAATCACCCACCAGGGAGTTTGGCAACACTGAAATCCCTTCTCTTCCATTCTCCTTTGAATTTTGGGCATTCATACACACACACCCAGCGTGAGTTTCAATCTGCCAGGTCTGGGACTTGAACTGCTGTCAGCCATGTGAGAATCCAGCACTGTGACCCACTATGCCACCTGCTGGCCTCAATTATGGCCTTTGTTTAACCAATTCCCTATTGCTAGTCCTTCAGCATGTGTTCAGGTTTTTAAAAATAAACGTTGGGACCAGCAGATGGTATAATGGTTATGTCTCTGGACTCCCATGTAGTTGACCACAATTTGAGTTTCAGAGGGACTCAAAATCCCAGGAGGAGATTGGAGGAGAAGGGATTATGGTGTGGCCATCTGCCCTGAGGGGTAATTTCTCATTTTCCCTCTTCTTTCTTTCTCTCTCTCTTCTCTGTCAGGTGAGTACACATGCCCTATGGCAAAAACCTAAAAAAAAAATTAATAAAATAAAATTTTCAAAAAGCAAGAGAGAAGTTCCCTCAACAAGGTCTCATGCCATCATCCTCCCTCCAGCTCTCCCAGCCAGGATCACAGGCACATCTGCATGTGCCCTGTATGTGCAGATCAACCCTGGGGCTGAACTCTGATCCCAGAGTGGTGCACCACCACTGGGCCATGCAAGGGGGCCAGACATATATGTCTTTTTTTGGTGTAATTATTTATTCAGAAAGATTTTTTGCGATTGGGTGCATGTGCTTGCCCGAGAGACAGAGAGAAAAAGTGAGAAATCACCCACTGGGGGATGGCCACAATCTCTTCTTCTCCTTTCTCCTTTTGGAATATATATACACAGGAACCTGGCGTGATTTTCTTTTCTCTCTCTCAAAAAAATAATTGTTTATTTAATTTTATTTATTATTATTTTTTAAATTTGACCAGAAGGAGAGAGGGAAAGTGAGAAAGCAAGCAGCCAGATATGGACTCAAACTGTGGTCCATCATGTGGGAGTGCAGCGCTTTAACCACCTTGCCACCTGCTGGCACTGCCCCTCCCCCATTGAGTGATTTTTCAAGTTGCCAGGTCCGGGACTAGAACTGTCATCTACCACATGGGAATCGAGTACCTTAACCACCACACCACTTGCTGACCCAGAGGGAACTTCTCTCTCTTCTTTCTCTCATTAAAGAAATAAACATTTTAAATAAAGGATGTATATGTCTTTAAACCTTATGATGCTGTTCTGCATCACATGGACAAGACTGGCTATTATAATGATTATTTTTTTAATTTGCTATTGGATTCATGCGCTTACCAGGAGAGAGAAGACAGAGACAGAGAGACAGAGGGGGAGAAAATGAGAAAGCACCCGACAGAGTAGGCAGCCCTACCACAATCCCTTCTCCTCTCTGGATTTTGGGTGCACACACATGCATCCAGCATGTTTTTCAAGCTGCCAAATCCAGGACTCAAACCACACAGTCAGCCATGTGGGATTCAGCTCTCTCAACTACCATTTTATAAAACATATAAAATATTTTATAATCTTAAAACTTTTTAATTCTTAAACAGTTAACAGTCGTTATTTAAAATGTAATATTAAAATGGTTAAGATGAATTTAAAATGGTAATTTATGCTTCTGTTTACTTTAGTATATGATAGCTTCATTGTCCTTATTTATAACTCAATTTGATTTCAAATTTCCTTTCTGTTGATTAAATAGAATTATGTTGAATTAAATTAATGAATTAAATTACCAGTTTCTTGTGCGCCCTTCCAGAGATATTCTACACAATACATGTTTTTTCCTACATCTGCATTTTTATTTATTTTATTTACTTATTTTTTTTTTTGGAGAGATTTTTCGCTATAGGGCGCGGCGCGTGCGCTCGCCAGACAGACAGAGAGAGACAGAGAGACAGAAAGCGAGAAATCACCCCCCAGAGGGGATGGTCATGCCGCAATCCCTTCTCCTCCATTCTCCTCTCGGGATCTTGGGCATGCACGCACACGCACCCAGCGTGAGTTTTAAGCCACCGGGTCCGGGACGCGAACCGCGGTCGACTACGTGGGAGTCCAGTGACATAGCCATCACACTAACTGCTGGTTCCCTGCATTTTTTTTTTTTCAAGAAAATTTTAGACCGGCTTCTTGTTTTAATCCTCCTTGCCAGATGTCACCTGTTTATATTAGCTTTGTAATAATCATCATAATTCACTTTCTTAAACAGTGATTTATTTTCCTTTCCTTTTTTTCTTTCTTTCTTGTCATGTGTCATTTCTCCCAGATGGAACAGTAAGCCCATCGGTCCTGAATGTCCGATATCTTGTGAACTGGAAAGGGAGGACACCAAGACCCTGGACCAGGCAGAGAATCCTCTTTTCAAAACCTGCTGGCAAAGGTAGCAGGTGAGAAATGACCTATTTCTCTTTCTTTCTCCCTTCCCTTCCCTTCCCTTCCCTTCCCTTCCTCTTTCTTTCTTTCTTTCTTTCTTTCTTTCTTTCTTTCTTTCTTTCTTTCTTTCTTTCTTTCTTTCTGTCTTTCTTTCTTTCTTTCTCCTTTCTCTCTTTGTTTCTTTCTTTCTTGTTATTGCCATGTGGTGCTTGTGCTCTCAGGGAGAGGGAGAGAGAAAGTATTCCCAATAGGACATATCATGTAATTCTTTTTTCTTTTTAAATAATTATTTATTTAATTTTATTTATTTATTTATTCATTCATTCATTCATTCATTCATTCATTCATTCATTTTTAATTTGCCCCAGATAGAGACAGAGAGAGACACTGAGAAAACAAACTGCCAAGTTTGGGGCTTGAACTTTGGTCAGTCATATGGAAGTCCAATGTCTCAAACACCACGCCACCTGTTGGCTCCAGTGGTGCAATTCTCTTTCCTCCATGTCTCCATCTCAGGATTTGGGGAATCCACACATGTGTGCCCAGCATGTTTTTTCAAGTCATCAGTACTGGGACTCTAACCATGGCTGACCACGTGGGATTCAGCTCCCTTAACCACTGTGCTACAGGGTTGGCCCAATTTCACTTTTTTTTTTTTTTAAGGTTTTTGCCATAGGGCACATGTGCTCACCAGAGAGAGGCAGTGAGAAGGAAAATGAGAAATCACCCCCGAAGGCCATGCCACAGTCCCTTCTCCTCCATTTCCTCCTGGGATTTTGTGCACACACTACCAGTGTGATTTTTTTTTTTTCTTTTTTTTGGGAGAGGTTTTTGCTATAGGGCGCATGCGCTCGCCAGACAGACAGAGAGAGACAGAGAGAGAGAAAGCGAGAAATCACCCCCTCAGGAGGAATAGCCATGCCGCAATCCCTTCTCTTCCATTCTCCTCTCGGGATCTTGGGCACGCATGCACACACGCCCGGCGTGAGTTTAAGCCACTGGGACTCGAACCGTGGACAACTACGTGGGAGTCCAGCGACACAGCCATTATGCTAACTGCTGGTCCCACTACCAGTGTGATTTTCAAGCCACCAGGTCCAGGACCCACACTGTGGTCAGGAATGTGGGAATCCAGCACCACAGCCACCATGCCACCTGCTGGCCTCCAGTTTCACTTTCTTATGAGAAAGTTCTAATTTCAGTTCCTCGACTCCTAAGGTTCATTTTTTCCACCTCAGTTTAATAACACTTTGCATGTAATTAGAACTATACAATGCCTGTTGAATGAATGAATTAATAAATAAAAACATCAATGAATGAATGCTAACCCCAGAGATAGCTGGTGAGGCTTGTTAAAACAGAACTAAAGATTTGCATACACGTAACTGGCTTACTGTGAGTGACCAATGACAGAGTATCATTGCTGTGACATCATAGAGTTGTATCTCTTTCTGGATGAGGCCTTAGAACTTTTCAGTCCAAAGGTCCCCAACCAGTGCACACCCGCAGAATACAGTCATTCTGTTGGCAGACATGTCTTTAGCTTGCATAGTTTTGTTTGCCGTTGATGTTGGTTTTTATTTTTTTTTTTTATTTACTTTTTTTTTTTTTTGAGAGTTTTTTGCTACAGGGCACTTGCGCTTGCCAGAGAGACAGAGAGAGACAGAAAGCGAGAAATCACCCCCCAGGGGAGATGGCCACGCCACAATCCCTTCTCCTCCATTCTCCTCTCGGGATCCTGGGCATGCACGAACACGCTCCCGGCGTGAGTTTAAGCCACTGAGTCTGGGACTTGAACCACTGTAGACTACATAGGAGTTCAGTGACATAGCCATTATGCTGTTGGTCCCAATGTTGGTTTTTATTTTGAATTAGTTACCAATGTGTAAAAACTGAGAGATTTTTACAAAAAGTGATTTGAGGTCTTTTGGCCCCTCTAGGACAGTAGCTATGGCCTGGGCTTCGTGTGGCCACCCCATGTTAGAAGGGCTGAGCTCCACCCATCCAATGCTGCTCCCCACCATGCTTGGTGCGCCTGACTTATATCCAGGTCCAGCCTTGGGAGAAGCTGCATTCGTGGTACCTGATGTAGTCCAGTGCCACCCTAGCACCCCATTTTGTCAATAAGGAAACAGGCGACACAACACACCTCCTTAAGGAATTTGTCACATTTGGGTCTCATGCTGCACTATCTTCCATCTACTTTTAGAAGAAGCTCTGGGAAATACAAATTTGACATGATCACACCTCTGCTTAGAATCCTTCAGTGAGGGGCCAGCAAGTGGCCTGGTAGTTAAGGTGTTGGATCCCCCACATGGACAACCATAGTTCAAGTCCCGGACCTTGAGAGCGGCTTGCTCTCTCACTTTCTTTCTCTCTGGTGAGCACATTGAAAATTTAAAAATAATAATGGGGCCAGCAGGTGGCCTCTATTTAGCAAATTAAAAAATAATAATAAAAGTTAAATAAATAACTATTAAAATAATAAAATAAATAAAATAATTATTAAAAAAAAGAGAGAGAGAATCCTTCAGTGACTCTTGTTTCAGAGATCCCAATCTTTGTATCATGGCTTGTAAGACCTTTCAACGCAAAGCCTATGTTATCAACCTGATCTGTGACAACTCTAACCAGCAACACCAAACATCTTCCAGCCCTTTATCCTGCCGTTATCTTTTGTGTCTCAGGGTCTTCACACATGCTATTCCTTTTGCCTAGAACACCCTTCCCTATCATTTGTCTGACAGATACATTCATACTCAGTATTTAGTCAGACACCTGTAATTCTTCTCTTTTGATGCCTCCCCCCTCACCCCACCCTTGCATTCTCTCTGCCATGGGACTCAGTTCACACTCCTATGTGTGGTTCTTGGTAAGTCTGTTATGACTTCCTCACTAGACTATAAGCTCCTCAAGGGTAGGAGCACAGACCATTCATTTTCATCCTCACTGTTTTTCTGAATGCTCTATATATGTTGAATGGATGGATGACTGCTTGCTCCAGGTGACACCGTTTGGGTCATAGCTGGAGAAATTCTAGTTTTTCTCTGATTTCCTGTAGGGTCAGGACTAGGAATGGGTCCTTTACTTACTTGAGAGTGCACAGAAACAAGCCACATTCTTTCTGTATTACCAGACGTCTTAGGAAACTCAATCTTACTCTCTTCCTCCTCTTTCTTCTCCTACACAAATTGTAAATCTCATTTTGGCCTCAGCTTCCCAGTTACAAACCTGACTCCCAAACATTCATTTGATTCCAGGTAATAAACATAAGCTGGTCATGGAAATTCTATACTTCTTGCTAGTGTTTGATTTACGAATGGTGTTATATATATATGACAGAGATGGAGAAAGAGATGAGAAAGGATTTCTTAGGAGAATTGACTCACATGATTATGGAGGCCGAGAAATTCCATGATAGGCCACCTGCAAGTTGGAGAACTATGGAAGCCAGTGGTGTATCTCAGTTCAAGTCTGAAGGTCTCCAAACAAGGGAAGTCAATGGCATAACTCTCACTGTAAGACCAAAGGCCTTAGAAATAGAGGCCACTGGTACAGGTCCTTGAGTCCAAAGGCAGGAGAACCTGGAGTTCCAATAACCCAGGCAGTAGGAGGACATCGGGCTTAAAAAGAGAGAGTGAGAGAATTTGTTATTTCTCTGTCTTGTTGTTCTATGCATTCCCCAGCAGACTGGTTGGTGCCCTCATTGTGGGTGGGCATCATCCTTATTCAGTTTACCAACACATGCCATTCTTCTCCAAATACATCCTCACAGACACCTAGAAATAATACTTCATGTACTAGTTATCTAGGTATTCCTTCATGTGGTCAAGTTGACACCTAAAATTAACCATCACAAAGGGACTTGTGACAAAGGCATGGTCGTGAAATATGAGGAGAATCCTGTTGAATGGAAAATGATTCTGAGAAATTTGCTATCTTAAAGAAACCAGGGGACCAGCACATGGCATTAATGATTCCATTGCTGGACTTCCATATGGCTGACCATGGTTCGAGTCCTGGACCCAGCAGTTTGAAACTCACACTGGGTGCGTGTGTTGTGCATGCCCAAAATCCTGAAAGGAGAATGGAGGAGAAGGGATTGTGGGATGGCCATCCCCCCGGAAGTGATTTCTTGCTTTTTTTTTCTCTCTCTGTCTCTCTGGCAAGCACATGTGCTGTGTATAATAAAAAATCTCTCTCAGGACCAGCAGTTAGCGTAATGGCTATATCGCTGAACTCCCATGTAGTTGACCGTGGTTCAAGTCCTGGACCCCATGGCTTAAACTCACGCCAGGTGCGTGTGTGTGCATGCCCAAGATCCTGAGAGGAGAATGGAGGAGAAGGGATTGTAGCGTGGCCAACCTCCCCTGGGGGGGAGGTGATTTCTTGCTTTCTGTCTCTCTGTCTTTCTGGCGAGCACACTCACCCTATAGCAAAAAAAACCCTCTCCAACAACCCCCCCCAAAAAAAAAATCTCTCTCTCTCAAAAAAAAAGAATAGATGCTTCCTTTATTTATTTATATTTTTTAGAGAGATTTTTACTCTTGGGCACATGCATTTGATGGAGACACAGAGGGAGACCAAGAGACAGAAAGTGAGAAATCACACCCCCCCGCCATGTCGGGGGAGATGGCTACACCATGATCCTTTCTCCTCCATTCTCATCTTGGGATTTTGGGCACGTGTGCATGCATGTGTGCCCAGTGTGAGTTTCAAGCTGTCAGGTCTGGGACTCGAACCATGGTCAGCCATGTTGGAGTACAGCACCTTAACCACTACACCACCTGCTGGTCCCCAGATGTGTCCCTTCTTTATCTTCTAGACACTGTCATTTCAAAATGTATATGTTGAAGGTATCTTGCCACCAGCTTGGAAATAAAGCCAATACCAAAGATGGCAGAATAGAGATGAGGAAAATCCTACAATAAAGGTATCATTAAGTAACTTAATCAACCAACCCTAATCCTTGTTACATGCTACATTACACAATAAATTTCCTTCTGGTTAAGCCGGTTTAAGTCATGTTTGTATGTCTAATTTGGAATCAAAACATACTACCTGACACAGTTCTTCAATGTCCACTATCATTCCTAAAGTAACTGCATGTAATTGTCAATTTTCTAATTCCATTGTTAGTCTATGAAAGCATAATTAATTAGGTGAGCTTTGGATGATCTAAAATTGAGCACCATAAAGGAGGATGTGGTATGACCAAGGATTCTCTAACAATTTGTTTTACACTTGTCAGTATCCATGGCTCTTTTATTTTTCTTAGAGAGATTTTTGCTATAGGGCACTTGTGCTCACTGGAGAGATGGAGAGATAGAAAGACAGAAAGTGAGAAATCACCCCTTAGGGGGATGGCCATGCTGCAATCTCTTCTCCTCCATTCTCCTCTTGGGATTTTGGGCCCATATGCACATATGCCTAGCGTGAGTTTTGAGGCATCGAGTTTGGGACTCGAGCCACAGTGAACTACATGGGAGTCCAGAGACGTAACGATTACACTATCTGCTGGTTCCTCCATGGCTCTTGATGATAGAGAAAGCACATTTCAGAGTTAGCCATGAGTGAGTGAGTCTCATGCCATCACTCCCTGCTGAAGGCCATGCTGTAAGCCTCTACCTAACCTTCAGTCTCACTTCTTCCTTCCCACCAGCACCTAGATTTTGTTTACAAGACTATCTCTCTTCACTGAAGACACAGTACCCCCATTCTAAGTGTAAGCCTCACTCTTCCATGTTAATCTCATTGCCCCTTGTCAATGATCAGCTGGGAATTGTCCTGTCAGTCAATTATGGCCAAAGAAATATCAGCAGAAGTCTAGTAGGAGATTTCTGGAAAAACTCCCTTTATGCCGAAGAAAGATCTGTGAGAGAAGCCATCCTATTCCTCTTGACATTGCCCCATCAGAATGTGAATGCTACAATTGCTGTTGTCTTCTCATGAGCTTGAGGATGACAGCAACACCAAGGATAACAGAAGAGAAAGATGGAAAGAATTCAGGTCCTTGTTACCACATCAAATTAATCCTGAAGCACTTCCTACCCTACATGGGGATTTTAGTAAAACAAGAGAATGCATTTTATTAAAATGAAGCCAATTTGATTTAGACTTTCTGTCATTTGTAACTAAAAATATTCAGTGATACATCTACAGAAAAAAAAAAAAAGAAGCTGTCTTTTACTTAACCATTTATTATTTTCCTTATAGCTCCTAGATGTTGTTGTGTATTTTGTTTGATAAGTGAAGGTCAACTTTTCATTAAAATTCCAACATAAGGGGACCAGCAGATGGCATAATGGTTATGTTGCTGGACTTCCATTTAGTCAACTGTGGTTTGAGTCCTGGACCTCATGACTTGAAACTCATGACGGGCACATGTGCATGTGTGCCCAAGATCCCAAGAGGAGAACAGAGGAGGAGGAATTGTGGCATGGCCATCTCCCAGGACAGGGAAGTGATTTCTTGTTTTCTGTCTCTCTCTGTCTCTCCATTGAGAGAAAAAAAAAGATTCTGACCTAAGAGAGATATGACCTGAGAAGCATATTTCAGGAATAAGCTGTTGTTCAGCTCCCCTTTCCAACAGAAATCAAATGACTTGTAATAGTGTAAGTTACAATGGAGTAGGATATGATGCAGTAATAAATTTCATCTTCCACGCAGAAAAAAAACAACAACCAGCATTCTATTTTTAAATGGACTATAACAAATAGAGAGACTAAAAAGGGACTTGTTTTCCAAAAATGTTAAATGTCACAGAGGAAGAAAGGCTGATGATGGGGCCAGCCAGGTGACATGAAGGTTAAGGTGGCTGAATCCCACATAACTGACCATGCAGTTTGAATCCCAGACCCAGTGTGGGATTGGTCATCCTCCTGGAGGGAGGTGCTTCCTCATTCTCTCTCTCTCTCTGTCTCTGGAGAGCACACATGTCCTATAGCAATTAAAAAAAAACGGTAAAGAAAAGAAAGGCTGATGATGAACTGTTCCAGATTAAAGGAGACTCTGAAAAAGAATAATAAAGATTTACACTAGCTGACTTTAATATTTACTGTAATGCTGCAGCAATTAAAACAATGTGATATTGGTCTAACAATAGAGAACTGAATAGACATTTCAGAAGTAGACCCATATGTATATAGTCAATTGATATTCACTAAGGCAATTCAGTGAAGAAAGGATATTCTTTTCAACAAATAGTGCTGGGACAATTGAATATCCACATATAAAAAGATAAATTTATACTCACATCTCTTGCTATGCATACACACACAGAGACTCAAAATGGATTATAGACTTATATTTGAAATAGAAACTATAACACTTACAGGAGAAAATATAGGAGAAAGTCTTTCTGATTAGGGATAGATTTCTTAGATATGGTACCAAAAGCATGATACGTATTTTAGAAATTTATAAACTAAACTTCATAAAAATCAGGAATCCTGCTCTTCGGAAGACACTGTCAAAAGAATGAAAAGTTTGGACAGGTCAACAATTTCAGTGGTACCCAAGACCAGACTCCAAGAAAGGTTTGTACAGTTTTGTGAGTTTTACCTCCAGAAGCTCAATCAACATTTCACAGTGATTATCAGGTGCAAAAAAAAAAAAAAGAAAAGAAAAGAAAAAAAAATCTCCTTTTGCAGGCTGCAATACACCAAAGCATTCTGTTCTTAACAGGTATGCCCTCAGGAAAAAGTAGCAGAGTGTAACCTGCTGGAGTTTTATCAGAGCCTAACAGACCTGGGGGAAGGGAAATACCCAGCTCCAGCCCCTGTAGTCATCCTGCTTCACTTGAGTGGGTAGATGGGGGAACCAAGAAGCACAGGAGAAGTTTATAGTCTAGAGGCAAAGGTTTGTTTAAAAAATGAGACCTAGTGGGACCAGCAGTTAGCGTAATGGCTATGTTGCTGGACTCCCACATAGTCGACCACGGTTCACGTCCCGGACCCGGTGGCTTAAAACTCACGCCGGGCACGTGTGTGTGCGTGCCCAAGATCCCGAGAGGAGAATGGAGGAGAAGGGATTGTGGCGTGGCCATCCCCCCGGGGGGTGATTTCTCGCTTTCTGTCTCTGTCTCTCTCTCTGTCTGGCGAGCGCACGTGCCCTATGGCAAAAACCTCTCCAAGAAAAAAAAAAAGAGACCTAGTTATAGGACTAGAACATGCTTTCTCTCACGCCATCCCATAGCACAACATTACCGAATTGTTTATAGCAATTCCTCTTAGAATATCATGTCTGGTAATTGAGAAAAAATGACAAGAAATACTGAAGGGCAAAAAATAGTTTGAAGAGATAAGGCTAGCACAAGAATCAGACTCATATATGGCAGGGCTAGTAAAACTATCAGACCAGAAATTTATAACAACTGTGATTAATATACTAAGAATTCTAATGGATAAAGTGGACAGACTGCAAGGGCACATGGGCAATATAAGGAGGGAAGTAGAAATTCTAAGAAAGAATAAAAAATGCTAGAAATTAAAAACACCATAACAGAATTGAGGAATGCCTTTAAGGTGCTTGTTAATAGATTCAGCACGTCTGAGGAAAGAATTTCTGAGCTCGAGGATATCTCAAGATAAACTGTCCAAACTGGAAAGTAATGGGAACCAGC